AAAATTTCCTTACAAATGTGCGGCAAGTGCACCGAGTAAATATAGTGGTCAAGCCTTTACTTCATGGACCATGTCCATGAGCAAACTTATCTGCTAATAGCTAACTCATTCACTCCTTATTTCAAAGTAGATATGGGGAAAAATGGTGCCTCCAAATTCTTCTATTAAAGTAGCCGCAGGACGACTTGTACTTTAATAAATAGATCATAGGCATGATTTGCAAAATATCGGCACAGCTACTAAATCAGAAACAACAACTAAAAATAACTATTTACAAAAATTCAGATAATAAACATTTATTCAATTTTGCAAAAGGTTAACTGGAGAACCTATTTCGTTTGGGGCCATATTAAATGATTCTAATTATTTCTGTATCAAATAGAAGAGATTAATTTACAAACAATTAAATAAAAAGGGCATAATCATAGGCACTCAATATTTACAATATTGATATACTATAAATATTGAAACTATTTAGACACTTATACTTAATTTTAATATTACCAAAATTTATTATTCATGTATATTTCCAACCCTCAACATTCCTTGGGTATTTAAAAAAATTAAAGGACAATAAATATCAAAATTAGTTAAGAAACGTAGAGAAATTAAAGACAAAATTTTAATTACTTTGACTTCACTCATTACAACTTTACTTATTTGAATTCAAATTCAGAAAATTTACCTCATCCTAGAAAACCTGACAGTATAAATATATATATATATGTATACATGCATACATACACGCATGCACAAACACATATATGCATACATGTATACATAGAATTCACTAATCTTAGCACAATTTTTTTAAAACATAATCAAAGGGTAAGAGTAATTCTCGACTTAAGCCTTTTTAAATAAAACTTGATAAACATCGTCACTAGGCAAGCGAATCAAATTATCACAGCTTACTTGAACCCTAAGTGTCTCAATATAATTTGTTCCGTACGCTCTTCTTGTAAAATCAGATAAATTAAACTGGATTTGATTCCATCCCTCATCGAGCCTCATTGGCATTGTGCAAATGAATGGCTTCACTCGAGTTGTGCTCTGATAATTACTCGCACGAAATCTTCTTTTAACATTTTTATCGTCAAGAATCTAAGAGTTATTATAATAATTACAAACCTGAACTTCAAATGTAAAATATTTTCGTAAATTTTTAATTATCATTACTAGGAATGGCAATTTAATACCCAAAGTAATTTTGGGATCATGAGGACATGTAATAAATGTTGTACTAAGAAATAATTAATTCAAGGATATCGCACCTAACATTTGTACCCATAACCTCTAGAACTAAAGATTGTATGTCGTTATCTGTTATTCTTTTTATATGCCCATTTTTAACCTAAATGTTAAATACTAGAAGTTAATACCTCCTTGTTCCATATTTGTAAAGGCTTGCTGCCTATACTAAAAAGTATAGATAGAAATCCACTTTGAAAAGTGTTTCGGAACATATCACAAAGTAAATTGAACCGAAGGCCGTCGGAGCGTAATAAGCTGGACTGAAGATAGAGACGTTGCTATGACAATAAACTGTAGCAACGCGAAATTTTATCTTTATTCAATAAAACGAACTACAAAAACAAGATTTTTTTAAGATACAAAAGCTTGAATATAGACGTTTTTAATTTTTTTATTAATTTGTTATATTTGATAGATTAAGTTGATATTTTTTAATTTGGTATAATCTTTTCAAAATCCATTAAAACATTGCATTCTATTCCCCATACTCTTCAAGGTCTCTTCATTAGACTTTAGCTGCGATTTATAATTAATATGGCTTTTTACTATTTTATGAACACGCTACTTTCGTTTGCATCGTTAAATCAATTTAACTCCTAGCCCATTGAGTCAGGCCAAATTGCCACTTTACATTACGTTT